ATTTCTTACATCTTTCAGAACCTACATCGGAAAATCGATTGCATCTTCTGCCTGTCCTCAGTGGAATGATAGATTGAATATCATCAGCCTATTTATTGATGACCAAATACCTTTTTTTTATTTTTAAATTAAAATAATATGCTAAAACAATAAAATAATAAACGATAGGAAAGAGAACATCAGATTGTGCATCTCACAAAAGCATAAAGGATATTTCTCCAGAGTACATCCAAACCTAGGCTTGTTCTTATGTCCATTTATATTCAGGTATCTTGCTTTGTTTTTTGGCTGCATCTGCCAATCTGACATTATTTCCTTCATTTCATCTTTGAAGTTCCTCCAATTTCCCTCATTTGATTCCAGTGCTCTAGTTTTATCCATAGTTGATTACCTGTCTGGTTTTCTTGCCTCTAACCATCTGCTTCCTAACCTACTGGTTCCTTTTACTTGGGAAGAATTGTTTTCCATTCTAAACATATAACCAAAAAGATTCAATTTAATTTTCTTGACTTCAGCTGTGATATATGACTATCCTGTATCCTAATTTCACATTTTAAGTCTTTTTATTCTGTACAGACTTGATTTAAGAATCTAATATAGCACTTTCTTCCAGCAAATGTCAAGTACTATGGGGAGATACAGGTAGCTTGTGGTTAGAAATATATATCACAATAGATTATGGCAATTCTTCATTCCTTTTTGATTCCCATGTTTTCTAGACCACTAAAATATCATAAAAAGACTTTAAGAAAATGTGATAAATGCTTTAAATGCTTATAGCTCAACCATTTTTTCAGCTTCTTGTTCTCATTCCATTTGAGAGAATTTACTTGAACTTTCTTTTAATAGAGAAAGTGATTTTTGAGACATTCTTATGCATTCCAGAAGCATTGATATTTGCACCTTTTATCCTATTGATCAGCAGAGATATTAAGAATAGAGACAGCAAGAAAAAACTCCCACTTAGTCTCTGCTTTCCTTTCCTTTAATTGGAAGGATGATACTCTTAGATATACTTCATGCAATTAGGGTCCTGACTGAATGAAAAATAGTGGATGTAAAAAAAAACACCCTTCCCTCTTGTAGATATTAATGCTGGATCTGAAGTTACCAAAGGCAAAGATAAAATAATTAGTGTTGCCTCATGTTCATGTTGTCTGCATGCGTGGATATAAACTGTGAGATTGCTGGTGCTCTCTCTGAGCTTGGTGGTTTTCTTGCAGACATTTCATTACCGAACTAGGTAACATCATCAGCACTAGAGGGGAATGGGGTTTGCTCTTATTGCATATAAATTGTAAAAAGACAATTAGATAAAATAAAGTGATTCCAAAGGCAAATTAAAGGAATACCCATTGAATTGAATTGAATTGAATTG